GATCGGTTGATGGGTATATAACTTCACTCCTGTTGGCCCTTTTGTTCTCCAGACGCCTCTTACGCCCAAGCCTGGCTTTTGGCGGACCGGGGTTATGTAATTAGGTGCCACCTAAAAACATTACGGCGTTCAAACACCACTTTATCAACTTCTCGCACTCAAAAACTTACCCACTAGGGGTTGGCACTTTAGCACTTGTGTTTTTTTTTTGGTTTTTAAGCCACTTGTAACGGCGATTGCCGGGAATTTTGGAAATTTTGGATTTCCTTTAATTTGTGTAACTTTGATCTTTGCACTTGCAACTAACTTCTTCTTCGGTCCACTGGTAATTTTGGTGTGACTCCAAACGAAATTGACTTCGGGTCGGGACCCTGAGTCCGACCTGTAGCTCAAGCCTACTCACCAATTTGGTGAAGTTTTGGGAGTTCTGGCTCAAGAGACTATATTTTCTACTAAACCATGTAGACCAAACTCTGTTGCCTACTTTTGGGCCGAAAGCAATCTTAGCCAAAAGACAAGCAATCCTACATTACACACAAGCGGCACGCAACAGATCCGCGGCTATAAATATATACAAAAGGTTGGGGCGCTACTCGAGATCCAACAAATCGCGAAATTATAACACGCTCTTGTGTGTGTGGGGAGATAGGAGTAGGAGGCATCATCATCGGCTTCGCTGCACTTGTGTGGTTGGGTCAATCAGCTTAAATTCGAGTTTAATGAATCGCCAGCACGCACACGAGTTGCCAGACCCCACAATTGGCGTATTGTATAAACAAATTAAATGTATTTCAGGCTCACGTTGATCGGCTGGCACAATGACCGACTTGGAGTCTCCGAAGAACGGCAAGCACCTGGAGCAGGTGCACCACAACAAGTGAGTACTATTTGCAAGCCAATCTATTTGTTTCTAATTGGTTCCGCATAGCTCAAGAGCCAAAGAAGTAATGGTAATGGGTGGATTTGAAATACCAAAATAAAATTAGTAAAATATTTTACAAAAATCTTTTCTAATACTTAGATCTGAAATCCTCAAAACATAGTTTCAATATTTTTTTAGGCTTTAATAATAATTGTTTTAATTTGATTTGGAAATATACTTATTTTTAAATTTTAATAATAGTTTTGTTTATATTTTGATTTAAATATATTATATATTACGGTAAAACTGATTTATCTTGCAGTTCTGCTTCATATTTATTTAATTTTTTCAATCAATTTATTTTCTTTTCTGATTAATTACACTGAATATAATAATTTGCAAATGCCACTGTATGAATATACAAAAGCTGGCGAAGTAAATAGGCTCCTCGGGGCCCTGGGGCTATATCGGTTGAATAAACCAGTCGATAATACAACTCGAAAACTGGTTCCGGGGCTAGACGCAAAAAAAAAGAGCAGAAATCGAAACCGCCTGCAGCAAATGCTGGCCAACCGAAAGGGAAAGTAACTCTGCCGGCTCCTCATTTGCATGGCTCGCACCTCCGCCGAAGAACCCCACTGACCATACACATTTCTTTTAATCAACTTCGCAGCAATGAAATCACGGAGAGCGAACCACTCACCTGGCGATTCTGGCGAAAACAGCGCTACATTGTTGTGCTATTGGCCTTCTTTGGATTCTTCAATGTCTACTCACTGCGCGTGAACCTTTCAGTGGCCATTGTGGCCATGACAGAGAATCGCACAGTGCTGGATGGCGATGGCAACATTTCCTACGTGCAGGACTTCCCCTGGGACTCCAAACAGAAGGGCCTAATCCTCAGCTCCTTCTTCTATGGCTACATCCTAACTCAGTTCCTGGGCGGCTACATTGGCACCAAAATTGGTGGCAACATTGTGAGTTATTAATATCATTAGATTAATGTAGTTATTGGTGTTAATTTGATTTTTTATAAAAAATGATTTGTATACACATATTAAGTTACAATCGTTTTTATAGAAAAAATTATCTAATTTAATAGCTTAATTACCGTAAATAGTATTTGATGATGTTTAAATAGAATTGTTTTTTTGTACCATGTTGAACAGATTTTAATTGCATGTTCAAAGCACATTTTAAATATTTTTTAGCTGATAAATAATATGTCATTAGTTAAATCACAATGCGTGTCATTTGAGCTGTGAAAATACAAGAAAAATTATGTTTTAAACTTGTAAAGATAAAATTAAATTTATATAATAAATTTTATAAAAACTCTAGGTCTTTGGAACTGGAATTGGAAGCACTGCCATTCTGACCCTGCTCACCCCGTTGGCAGCCTCGCATAGTTTGGAAATGTTCCTGGCCGTCCGCATCATCGAGGGCTTCTTCGAGGGCGTCACCTTCCCCGGCATCCATGCGGTGTGGGCCCGTTGGTCGCCGCCCTTGGAGCGATCCCGTATGGCTTCGATAGCCTTTGCGGGCAACTATGCAGGCACTGTGGTGGCGATGCCGTGCTCCGGTTTCCTGGCCACCAAGTACGGCTGGCAAAGCGTATTCTACGTGTTCGGCACTATCGGCGTGATCTGGTACCTCACTTGGATCATTTTCGTTAGAGCCGGACCCGAACAGGATCGTTTCTGCTCGAAGGAGGAGTGCGAGTACATACAAAAGACCATTGGATATGTGGGAACCAAGCACATCAAGCACCCCTGGAGGGCCATCTTCACGTCGATGCCTTTCTATGCCATCATGGCCTCGCATTTCTCGGAGAACTGGGGATTCTACACTCTGCTCACCCAGCTGCCCAGCTTCCTTCGAGGTAAGTTATTCGGAAAAATAGGAACCTTAAAATGTTTTATTTATATTCAGGCTGTTAAAAAAATTTGAATTTATATTACTATTTATTTTACATTCTTAAAAAATTCAAATTAACCAATTTTTTGGTTTACTAGATAAAATTTATCAAATTATGTTTGAAAATCATTTTTTTATTCTTCTTTGCTAGGCACCTTTTTTAGTTAAATAATAAAATTATTATTAGTTTATAGGAAAATTCGATTTAGTAGTAATATTTTTCTGGAAAAAAGATTTAATCTTTCTTGATATTCTAATTTAAAAAAGAATATTTTGAGAATGTTTTTTTTTTCAAAATTCAACTCGAAATAATGTTGGCTAAAAAAACCTAACGTAAATAATGTAAAGATTTTGTTCAAGAATTCTTATAAATATTACTCTTTTAATTTTAGATACGCTCAACTTTGACCTGGGCAAAACGGGCATCCTGTCGGCCGTTCCCTACTTGGCAATGGGCATCCTGCTGGCCGTGTCCGGCTATTTGGCTGATTGGCTGCAGGTGAAGGGCATTTGGACGACCACCCAGGTGAGGCGGAACTTTAACTGCGGAGCCTTCCTCGCCCAGACGGTGTTCATGATGCTGACGGCCTATTTGCTGGATCCCACCTGGTCGGTGGTGAGTCTGACCATTGCCGTTGGCCTGGGTGCATTCGCCTGGTCTGGATTTGCGTGAGTTTTTGAGTTGGCGGGGAGGAAATCCCTCTGAGAGATGTGCTATTCATTCGGGTGCTTTCCTTCATTTGCAGCGTTAATCACCTGGACATTGCGCCGCAGCACGCAAGTGTGTTGATGGGCATTGGCAACACGTTCGCCACCATTCCCGGAATTGTTAGTCCGCTGCTCACGGGCTATGTGGTCACCAACCAGACGAGTGACGAGTGGCGCATCATCTTCTTCATTTCGGCGGGCATTTACCTGGTCGGCTGCGTCATCTACTGGTTCTACTGCTCCGGCGACCTGCAGGAGTGGGCCAAAACGCCCGAGCAGAAGGCCCAGGAGGCCGAGGAGAAGGCCAAACTGCAGTTGACCCAAACCGCCGGTTTCGTCAACTCCGGCGCCGAATTGAAGGACTAAGCGATTTGGTCTGGCGTCGTCATCACATCATGAATTTGTGCTCTAGTATTACCTCGTTGTTACGTTGTTTGTGATGCTAGCCTTATGCGCACCATTGTGTCTATATTTATGTATGTTAATCCATTTAGTCTTTCCCGACACTCGCTACGAGTGTTTTTGCGAATAAACAAGGCATTTTATTACAAGTATTTTTCGGCCTTTTTTTGTGACTGATCCGTAAAGTATGCAAAGTGCTGTTTTGTGGATACATTGTGATTTCAGTCCAAAAGTATGCTAAATAAAGCTACGTATTCGCTTTTAACTATTTCTGTTAATTTTAACAGAACTCTTTTAGATTAATTTCAAGTTAAATATTTTTGTGTTTAAATATTTAAAATCTTTTTTTTTTTATAAAAACAAATTCTTATAATTTATAAAACTTTATAAGAGTATCAGAACTTTTATATAATGGCATAAACCAGATTTTTAGGTTTTTGTGTACATCGAAATGAGTTTAATTTTGGCTTTTAGTTGTTTAACTAATTAAAAAAGAAACCCATTTCGCTTACTCATAATTTATTCCAGTTTATGATTTATTAGAAACATAAAATTTCCAAAATAAGCCGAAACACTATTTTCCCCAATGAACTAGAGCTCGTTAAACTCCCGCTGAGTTTTCACGCGCTTTTGCTTAGTTTATAGCGCGTTTTGTTCCGCTACTAATTTTTGGTCGTCTTTTTACCTGTTGTATATTTACACTTTACGGCTCGCATTTTTTGAGGAAGAGTTAAATTAAGTGTTGAATTTCGGTTTATTATAACAAAGACCTTTATTCTGTTTTCATCTGATACATACATATAATACCCTGCTCGTTAATCAGCCCACTTTTGATGGTGTGCTTCTGGGCTGACGCGGCGTATACGCAATGTATACGCAAAGTGGCCAGCTGATAAGGTGATGCGGAGGTCGTGTGCAGCGAGTATTCGTACTCGTATTCAAGCAATCGCGTGCGCAAAAAGAATTGCCTATCGTCTGATAAATTGCGAACCACTCGCCCCCAGGCTTGCACACGACGTGATAAGGCGGGTCAAACAAACAAATTTGTTTTGGATTTGTGCAATTTTGCACCCGTTCGAGTTCGAGGCAATCCAAGTGGGTATAAAAGAGGGTGAGCTGTTGGATTGGGTCATCAGTTGAATAGCCAACAAGCCAGCAAGTGAACTTCAGTTTGTTTTAGCCAAGTTAAAGTGAGAGATACCAATATACATACAAAATGGTGTGCAAGGGTTGTGGAACTAGTAAGTGATGCAAAACCATAGCAAGTTGGATAATTGACAAGCGTTCTCGATTTACCAACAGACTGCCAGTGCTCGAGTCAGAAGTGCGGGGACAATTGCGCCTGCAACAAGGACTGCCAGTGCGTCTGCAAGAATGGGCCCAAGGACCAGTGCTGCAGCAACAAATGAGCCAGCCAACTAACTAACTACATATAACTTCTAAACTAAGGCTCAACTCCCACCGAGTTAGCCATAAAACCAATAAAGTTTATGAAGATTTCGGGCATTTAAAAGTTTCCGTTGCTAACTTTCGTTTTGGGGGCCGGACAATCCGATAATTATATTTTCGGCATTTGCCAGCTAAAACCAATTATGGTGAAATAATAAACGTTAGCTGCCATTTCAGTTAAGCAAACCGCAAAATAGAATTACATGAAAAATAAACAAAAAGCAACGCAATGCGACAATTTGGCTGGGATTGCAAATATTTGTGCACTCGCCAACATCTGCACCGGAATTAAAATCCAATCCATCAACGGTGATTTTGATGGAAAGCCGATTGAAAGTCCGTTGAATTGTTGCCTAAACGGAGCATAAACAGAAATAACATTCAATTTGCATGGCCATCGAACTGAAACCCAAATTATTTAGCCGCTTCTATCTGCCAGTGGACTGTGCATTTTGTTCGCTGCAAAAATAACCCATTTGTTTGGGGGCATAAAATGTATTTTGCTTTTGAGGCAATATCCCCCATAATGTGTTTGCCTGTTTTATTGCATTCCAAATAAAAATGTAGCCCCTCCTGGCTGCAAATTTCTCCAACTTTAATGGTCTGCCAACAAAATGGATGTGCTTCTCCATCGGCCAAATAATAACTTTCTCGCCCGGATTTATTTATATTTAAAGAGCGGTTTCCATTCGAGTGGCCATAGCCAGTGGGCCTATGAGCTTTCAGCTGTCAAAACCAAATGACCAATTAAAATACAGGCAATTGTGGACAATTTCAAGCGTCCGTTTCCGGTGCTTGAGCTGTCAAAATATTTATGAAACAACAGTGGTTCAGATCCATTAGCATAATCAGAGGTGCGTGATTGAGGGCTCTGTTGCGTGCCGACTTCGTTTTGTTTCATTTTCCTTTGTTCCTGGCCGGAAGTGAGTCGCAGACTTTTGCCTAATCAGGTGTGAATAATGTGACAAGAAAACGCTCTCCAGCTTGGTATAGTGTTGTTATTTAAATATTATTTTTTTTTTAGTTACAAAGTTGCCTTGCATTAAGTGTCACATTGTGTCTAAATTACTAAGAATGGATCAAGAGTTGGATCAGAAATTTACAATGGAACTGGGAATCATTGAGGATGGTGTACCAGAGTCCACAAACTTAGTTGAACCAGGTGAGTCTGTAGGAATTCTACTAAAGTATGACTTAACTTCAGGCGACTTTATTTCAGTTAATATTCCAGATACTAAGAACAATCCCATCAGAATCGTTAGGGCTACACTTATGGTGATATTGTTGAATGTTTGTTTAGTTGCGGGAACTATTCCCATCTATCTGTATTTAAATACGTTTACCGAAGTGATCAGAGAACGGTTCATGGACTTCATACTTGTTGGTGGAGGCCTTATTGCTATACCCACGTTATACAGGATGGGAGTGAGTAATAATAAGTACCATTTCTGTCCTAGTTATAAAGCATTGCGTTTTTTCCAGGATCTTTCGAAAGGCCGTCATAACTTCTACTACATTTAATCGCTATTTTGATGTTACAGCAAAATTCCAAATGTCTTTGACTTTATATTCAGAATTTTATTAGGATTAAAAGGTCATAATAATCAAAGTATCCCTGCCTTTAAACTCGACACTGCCAGATCATCCTTAAACACTTCTACCTCCCATAAACAACATACAAGTGCATCCCATCTCGTGTTTGAATTCTAAACCAAATTGTGTGTAGGAAGTAAACTTACAAAGTCCGCAAAATGTCGATCAGAAGGGGTGGACTGATGTCCTATAATCAAAAGCGCATTGCCCGCTGGTACTTTGGAGGCGTGGCCAGTTCTGTGGCCGCCATGGTAACACATCCCATCGATCTAATGAAGGTGCTCATCCAGACGCAGGCGGAGAAGCTGTCGGTGATGCAGACCACTCAAAAGATTGTCCGCGAACAGGGCGTTCTGGCCTTGTACAATGGGATCTCGGCCTCGCTGTTGCGTCAATACACCTACACATTGGCCCGGTTTGGAATTTATTCGGTGGGCTCTGGGATGATGGACACCAGCACCATGGGTCGCAAAACACTACTGGCAGCGGCTGCCGGTGGAATTGGCGGCTATGTGGGCGCCCCCGCGGATCTGATCAACGTTCGCCTTCAGAACGATGTCAAGTTACCGCCGGAAAAGAGGCGCAAGTAAGAGATCATCCTGAAGATCTTAAAGATATCTATTATTCTGTATCCTTACAGCTACAAACACGCCATCGATGGACTGGTTCGCATAACCCGTGAAGAAGGCTGGCGCAGCCTCTTCAACGGCTCCTCGATGACCGCGCTGCGCGGAATGTTCATGACCGTGGGACAGATCGCCTTTTACGAGCAGAGCAAGTCGCAACTGGTGCAACTGGGAATGCCCGAGAATATGGGCACCTACATCGCCGCCTCGATCATCTCGGCCACGGTGGCCACCACATTAACGCAACCGATCGATGTGGTTAAGACCCGGCGAATGAACGCTGCGCCGGGTGAATATTCCGGACTGACGGATGTGTTCATTAAAACCTCGAAAGAGGGACCACTGGCCTTCTTCAAGGGCTATACACCCTCGCTGACGCGACTAATGCCGCACACTATTCTTCTGTTTCTGGGCCTCGAGTTTCTGAGGACCCATTTTGGCTATCTGCCCGAACCGAAGCAGGTTGGCCCCTTTTATCGCTACGATGATGTCGATGACGACTAGTCAGTTCTCATTATATTCCAAATTTAATGTACCCTAGTTATGGTATTTTATGTCTGAAATTAAAGTTTTTTAAACAGAGATCTTGGGATAGATTTATGATGTAAAATATTTTTACAATTAAATTGTAATGATGGAAAGACAAGTTGAACTAATAGATCGTACTTTTAAAGTACTACCTAAATCAATATGTTTTTAAATCTTGCAAGCCCTTGCCACGTTTGAGAACTAATCGCATTATTTCGTGTTAAGAATCTCCTGGGATTTTATGAGTAAATATAATGGAATGCCTTTTGTTTGCCAACGAAATTAAATCTCGAATTTGCAATTTGCATTTTCTTTGGGCGAGCTTTTTTCGCCGCTTTTTATTTCGCTTTCACGATTCACTTCCTTTTATTTTGGCCTGGCCCCGTTTTGTTTGGCCTGGCATACTGGATGAATGCTTTATGAGGTGAGCTACTCCATTACCCAGATGAATGCTTTAATGGCCTTTAAAGCTGATGAAGCTGCCGTGCGGCAGTGGCACTCGTCGAGCATTTCAGCAAGGAAGTCATAATGCGAGCGCACAGGGCTGAGATGTCGTGTAATCGCATTAAAGCCATTAACAGGCTACACGAGAAATGGTGAAATAGAAGCGAAAGTGAATGGGAAAAGCGAAAGTAGAGGAAAGTAAAGGAGAGCAAAGTCGTTGTAGAGACACACGTTGTGTTGACACGGGAAAACAATCATACGACCCGTGTACCGGACAAGACTCAACGTGAGTGCCATTGCCATTCCAGCTTCCATCGATGCCATCGTCCATGCAATATTGATGCCACCCAACGAGCTTTCAATGTCCTAAACAGTGTTTAAGTTCTGGCCAAAAAGTGAGCTAACTTTTCAGCTCTTTTTCAGCCACCATCCGCTTGAGGCAGTTTTACGCTCCAAAGTTAATTACATTTCGGAAATATTAAAAATTCAATGCGTCCCCAAGCTTCTCAGCATCAACTTGCTCATGTGAGTGGCTGCGGAAATTATAATAAATAATAATTATGGAAAAGAATTTAATTTCACCGGCCAATACACGTGCGTCATGTTCAATGGCCAGAGCTACGTTTGTGTGCGCACATTAAAGCTGAATGTTGATGGTGAAATTGAATTCAATCGGAAACTCTCGGGTTGCATAACGATTCGTTGTGATGTCGTTCGCCCTGTAAAAATAATTGTGGGGCTTGTAGAAGATTTTATGGCGTGCTTTTCGGTAGTTGATAAACATTTAAACGGTGTCTGTGGTGGATTAATTGCTTTGAAAGATAAAACGGTTAAAAAATCAATTGTCATCAACACCAGTAGATATTCCATGAGTTGCAAAAAAGAACGGAAATTAATTGTTATTTTATTGGACACGGAAATGCTTAAATACAATGCAATGAATATGTTCTTACTTGTTTGTAACTTTTTTCGATTTAAAAACATTAAAAACATATTCCCTGTAAATATATAAAAGAGCTATAGTTAAAACCCTTTTTCAATTTGGTAAAAAATACTACTTATATTTTGTAATGTTTTTTTTTCCGACTTAATAAATATTAAAAGGCCTTTCTTGGTTGATTAATTATTTTCAAGGATAATAAAATTATGTTTTAAGACAGCTGCTGTTAAATTAACCGTTTTCTCCTTGTTTTCGCCAAAATACCACCCTCAAACTTTATGACACCGATTTGATGCCCACCCGAAGTACATAATAAAAGTGCCATTTGGCTGCGCAAAATTTATGCAAATTTCCCATGCGCCTGTGTAGCATCAGTTGGCGGGACGAGCGGGTCGAAAGAAGAGTCAAAACAGCGGCAATAACGACCGCAACGACAAATGCATAAATCAGTTTTAATGCAAATTTCGTTACATTCCATGTTGTCGTCTCAATAAGCAGCCATTAATATGCTGCGCCTGCTGCATAAATTGTGTGATTTCTGCGGTTTTGCTTAATTGTACGCATTGTCGCAAGGACAACGGCCAATCCTCGTCCTGCGCAATTATTCATGCGATGGTCAAGGACAACAGCTACCAGTTGCCGCACATTTGCGGTCGGCATTTTGCGTAGCAGTTTGCGTGGAAATTACTTGGATGCAGTCAGAGAAACACCAAGAATATTCATGATTTATCATATTTTTGAATATATATTTTTTAAATGTACCTATATTTTTTTTAAATTAAGTATGTGATCTCTAAATAGTATTTAGTAAATACGTATTGGTAAATTAAAAAAAATAAATATTTATAAAAATTGTTATAAAATGATATTTTAACTATAAAGGAATGATTTATTGATAACAGTTTTTATTATTAATCATAGTTAAAATATTATTCAAATTATTTAGTTTAATTTTATTCTGTGATTTCATTTTAAAGAAGTATGAGAAGTTTAAAATTATTATCGAATTTTGGTTGGCTCTAAGGGTGTTGCATTTGATTTCTTAGTTTTTCAGAGTGCATTTATGATGGAACCGAGTCGCAGCAAGGCGTTCGCAATTGTCGGCCATTTAAATGCAGGCCAATAAATTCAAGCGCAATTTGAAGTGGCGCTTTGTCTGGCCGTTCATTCCGGCATTATCCGCTTTATGCACGGAAGTCCATTTATATTGCCAACCGGCGACGGGCGAGACACAAATGAAGTGGAGTTCTCAGCACGGAACACGCAGAGGAGCCTTTAAATACCTTCGTGGCCAGCTCCATTTCCCCGAGATGCCAGAATGCAATAAACTTCTAAATCAGTCGATTAAGCTGCGAACTGCAAATGCCCCTAAAAGCGTACGATATGTATGTGCGTGCCGATGTGCGCGCACAAAAAGTTTCTGAAAAATGTCGAGCAATTAAAATAAGTAGCGTGAATCTCGCGGGAGTGAGCGCTGCCATTGGAAGTTGGTTTTGCTTCGGTTTGGTTTGGTTTGCTTGTTATCTTTCGTGTGGATTTGGCTGTCAGCGGGAACGCAGCGAAGAAGAGGGTTAACTGAGCTGGGGGAAAACGAGGGTTAACAGTGGATTAAGAAGCACATTCTGGACCATTTAATTATGCTTTAATTTAATTTTAGGGAAAACGAACTTGGATTGAGCTCACAAATGCTTAAGGGATCCCAATAATGATTTTATCGTAATGAGACTTCTTGTTTTCATCTGATTTTGAGAATAAATGTGAAACCTTTCGAGTTTCCCAATTACATTTAAAATCTAATTAAATGCATGCTTTATGGTCAACCAAACATTATATATAGAAAATTGAAAATGGTATTTTAAGGAAACTATTTTATTTTCTTTTTATACCCTTGTAGAGGGTATTATAATTTCAGTCAGATGTTTGCAACGCAGTGAAGGAGACGTTTCCGACCACATAAAGTATATATATTCTTGATCAGCACCAATAGCCGAGTCTATCTAGCCATGTCCGTCTGTCCGTCTGTCCGTCTGTCCGTCTGTCCGTCTGTCCGTCTGTCCGTCTGTCCGTCTGTCCGTTTCTATGCGAACTAGTCTCTCAGTTTTAAAGCTATCGCGATGAAACTTTCCCGAAGGTCTTCTTTCTATTGCAGGTAGTACATATGTCGGAGCCAGCCGGATCGGACCACTATATCTTAAGGCTCCCAAACAAATATAAGAAAATTCATTGTAACTTTGTAGGAAGTAGGCGTTTTGATTCTTGACTACTTAAAAACAAAATTGAAATAAATCGAAACGCTGAATCTGGAATCCCTGGAACTGCACCGAGTGAGTATTCTTTTATCTACAAGGGTATATAAGCTTCGGCTGGCCGAAGGTAGCTTCCTTTCTTGTTTAAATATCCTTGAATACTTTACAAATCATTCGGTCATTTATCCTTACCGCAAAATCCATGAATATATGAAATTCTTTAGGTGTTTGTTGAAATCATCCATTGACCACATTTCTGTGAAATGATTTGGCAAAATGGCCTTTGCATCAAGTGAAGCCATTTTACAAAATAATCACTAACGCACGCTTCAAGATTCCAAACACATTGGATGTTATTTGGCATCTGTCTGCTGGAGATTTGTTGGCCATTTGAATGCTCGCCACATACACGGGAGCAGGAAGCATAACAGTTTATCTTTATAATTAGATCTCATCGTATCGTATCTAGCTGGGCGAAAGTAGTAGTGCACAATGGCGAAAACCACTTCCAGAGCCATTTGCTCCGCCACGGGGTCACGCTGTCTGGTTACACGTACTCCACTCCCGGGGAAATGGCCATAACCGGGGCCCAAACCCAGGGGCACGGCCCAAACCCAACGAGAACCGAACCGCGAATCGCGAAACTTGGCTCATTAAAGATTAAGACGCATTAACACAAATGGTGTGAGGGGCTAGCAATTTAAGCGCCATCAGCATAAATATTTATGCAAATTGGGATTACAAGTATTTTGTACGTATTTTGTAGAGCCGCCTGCCGGGTGGAAACTTTCTACTCTGCTACTGCGATAGCTTCTCGACTTAAATTGAAATTTAATTAGAATTAAAGCCATGCGTTTCGATTACCCAAAGTGTTCTTAAAGCTCTGTGTTTTTGCCATCCAGTGACCTTGTTTTTCGCTTCTTTTCGGCTGCACTGCACTTTCGCCTTGCTGCATCTTTGAGTTTTCCCTCCCGCTTTCGATTTTCCCGCTGGCTGGTTAGCTGCAGCTGCTCTTTGTTTCGACATGGTAGTTTGCATTTCCCGCACTCAAGGCCACCGTCTCAGCGGATAAAAAAAAAATACCCGAAAACTCTGGGCAAACAAATGCATGCGGTATAATTTATGCTGCCACGGAGCGAAACCAACTTCCAGCTCATAAAATGTCGAGGTAAGTTGAGTTGAACGGCCAAGGCTGCCAGGATTTAGATAAATGAAATGCATAAAGATCCCGCTGCCGGCAGCCGAGGTCAACTGCCATGCATTCCATTTCCAACTGGATGGCCATAAAAGGTCGCAGATTTCAGCACACACAAAAATATCAATTTGAAGGGGATAGCCACTGTTGAAATTTCGGTATAAATATTTCATTCTATATTTTGAATGTAGAAATAACTGAAAC